CATTCATACACACACTATGGCACATACACATTTCACACACACACACATTCATACACACACTACGGCACACACACATTTTACACACACACATACACACACACACCATGGCAATTCACATATCATGCATACCACACACACATGTCCACATACACATATCATGACACATACACATATCACACACATGCACACACATACACAGTCACACATACATTCACCCACATGTACACACATGCAAATACACTGCACACACATGGATATGCATGTGACACACCCCTATATGAATGATAAGATGATAAATTATTGAATCTACCTTTAAACTAAAAAAGCAACTACTAGGCTTAAATATTTTGCACTGGCACAAATTTAAGTTTTTTTGTTATACTGTATATATGTTTTTACTATTTAAAGTATTGCACCTATGCATCTCATTTAACAATGTAATGTAAAGTTCTAGTCATTAAAGCTATTTTTACAAACTGTTTAGGATAATTAAGAAATGTAGGTTAGCAGTTAGTCATTTCTAACAAACTTTGTAGTCATGTATGTATGTTTTCAAGGTTAAGCAGATATAATTTAGATAGATAGGTGATCTTCAAACACTTCAGAGATCTACAGAATATGGCATTTAATATGTTTTAACAACATAAAATTTTCATGATAGTGAGACACATCTGCTCCTGGCAGCACCAATTTTTTTTAGATTTGTTTATTTATTATGTATACAACATTCTGCCTCCATGTAGGCACGCACACCAGAAGAGGGCACTAGATCTCATTATAGAAGGTTGTGAGCCACCATGTGGTTGCTGGGAATTGAACTCAAGACCTCTGGAAGAGCAGCCAGTGCTCTTAACCACTGAGCCATCTCCCCAGCCCCCCTGGCAGCACCAATTTACCTTAAAAAAATATGGATGATGGGCATCAAAGAACCTCCACGTGGAATCTGTTTTCATTGTGGAAAACTTAGCCACTGGGCAAGAACCTGCCCTTGCCTTGACTGCTGACAGTATGTTTTTCAAATTGGACAAGCAGGACACAAAAGAAAGCAACTGCTAAGCCTTGTTAAAACAAAGTAGAACAGTCCTTCAAAATCCCTGCTTTACAGTAAAATCTGTCAAATATTCTAGGCCCATATGGCAAAGATGGATGCCCCAATGTTGCAGAGCAACCTTGGGTGACTTCCAGGCAGCCAGCTGTCTCTGTTGTGTCTATGCTTTTGAAGTTGCTTGTTTCATGCTTCTTGTTTACTTAGGTAATATCATATCTTTCTGGGGTCTCTGATGGAATTAGAGCCCAGACAGTTATAGTTATACAGTTTTCCTTGCTATCAAATTTAGGAAAAAAAACTTAGAAAAGAGATGTAAAGTGTATAAGACTGAGAAACATAAAAACTTAAGTTATCTATCTGGAAAAATGTTCCAAGGTTTAAAAGGATATTTTTAGGATGGTCATACAAGTTATGGTAGAAAATGGTTTTGGTATAAAACTTTGGACTCATCAAGATAGAATAAATAATAGAGTAATTTCCTCAGATTTGTCAAATAAAAATGGACTTGACATTGTGAATATGAATGTAATGCTTACTTGATAATCGTTCTTATGGTATATAATTTTACTATATTAGAGTTAAAAACCTTTCCTTTTTATTTAGACAAAAAGAGGGAAATGTAGTAGGATATTTTTACATTGTATAAAGATGTATTGCTGTAATTGGTGTAATAAAAAGCTGAATGGCCAATAGCTAGGCAGGAGGTGTAGGTGGGACTTCTGGGCAGAGAGAGAATGCTGGGAAGAAGAAAGCTGGAATAGCCAGATAGACTTGGAGGAAGCAGGATGGGCAGTACAGAGATGAGGTAACACCACATGGCAGAATGGAGATTAATATAAATGGGTTCATTTAAGTTCTAAAAGCTAGTTGAGACAAGGCCAAGCCTTTATAATTAATAATAAGTTTCCATGTCATTATTTGTGAGCTGGTGACCCAAAGAAAAATCTGACTGCACATACACACACATATACCATGGCACACACACCACATACACACACACACACAGACACACACACACACAGACACACACAGACACACACAGACACACACACACACACACACACACACACACACACACACACTGGAGTGCTGCAGTGCTCAGCTTCTTCTCCAAGCACTGGAGACAGCAGAGGAATGAAAATGAAGCTGAGCCAGCTTTCATATATGATTGAATTGGAATGAAATAAGGTCTGTGTTTAGCTTCTTTTTTAACTTTAATAATGTGTTTCATTATTATTTTCCTTCAAAATGATTTCTGTTCCATTTATTTATTTCACCTAGACTTCTGAGACAATTAGCGTATACCCACAGTATATGGCATTATCAGCTATATTCTGCACATTTCTTTGCCCTGGGGGGCTGCTGGCCCTTAGGTTGGCACCATGTCTATCTCCCTGTGCCTGAGAGTAAGAGCTTTAGAAATCCACTAAGACTCTGCTAGAGGCTACTTCATGTTTTACCTGCCTGTAGCCTTTGAAAATAGGCTCCCAGTGGAAGCCCAAGGTATATTTAATACTATATCAAACTGTATATAATTCTGACCAAAAGGTGTCTGTCATTTATTTCCCTAGGGGGTGACGGCAAACTAGACCCACTGTGTGAAGAGGCCAGGATCGCTGTGCTAAATGCCTTCTGATATCTTGGAGCAGACAGAAGAAAGTCAGCTATGCCCTCCAGTCTGCAATACCAGCCCAAAGGGCTTATTGGGCACACAGACAGTGGGATCCACCAGTTAGAACACGGCAATGACGCCTGTCCTCTAGTCTGAACAGTTTGAGTTTCTCATCTGGCTGCACAGTCATTCACAAAGATAATAAAACCACCTCTCTGGCAGCATCTCTCAGTGGCAACCCATAGGGAGAGCCCACCAATATCAGGTGCATGTGTATCCGAAGGAAATAATAAAATGCAATCTAATAACAGAGCGCCGTCCCCTAATAAAGTACTGTTGCCAGAAGCATTAAACATTCCATCCGAAGCAAGCCAAGAACTAGGAATAGGTGTAATTAAAACACGCCTGGGTAGGGGGTGGGAATGAGGCCTTTGAAAGCCTGGACCAAGCCAGTGTCAATGAAGAATCTGGAAACATGGCTGTCTCTACAGATTTATTTCTTGCGCATACTGGAGTACATTTTTAATCTCTAGTATAAAATTAGGTGAGTTCAAATTTTCACTAGTCCCTGTTACAAACAAAGTATTTGCCTGCTTTTCTGTTAGCCAGTTCAGCTGACTGTGCTGAAGGAGGCAGGAAACAGTCTGGGGCAGTGAGAATGACTCTCAGGCTCTCTGTTGGAGAACACAACTTTAGTGGCAGGCATTGCAAAAAAAAAAAAAAAGAATCAATCATGCTAAAATGATGTAAATGATGTGCACTTGCTTTCTAAGTTGTATGTGTGTGTAATTTTTTAGGAATATATATTATATATAGTTATATAGTACATATATTTTATATACATAGATACATATTATATAGTTAAGAATATGCATATATGCACATTATATATGATTATATAGTTAAGAATATACATATATTATATGTATGTATGTATGTTCTTATACATATATACATATGTGTGTGTATATGTATATTCTTCACTGTAAAAGCACAGGAGGGAAGCAGACACCATTGTATGGTGTCACACATAATGCTGCCCTGTCACATTTGAGAAGACCCCAGCGGAAGTCAAGAGACTATGCAGAGAGAAAGGTGATTCCACACCCCGCAGGGACCTACACCACCTGGGAAACTGTCCTTCCCACCACCCTGGGAAGTTGCAGGTTCCCCAACACCCCTAAACTACAAAGGCCAGTAGAGATTCCATGTGCTAAATTACACCCTTGGCCCAAGTTTCATTTGTCAGAGTTGATCAGATTACAAATCACTCAGACCTCTTCAGAAATATTTAATCATCCTCTTCGCAAGAAACCCAGGATCCAGTGCAGTTTCCTCCTGGTGTCTGGGGTTGGTTTCCAGGTGCCTTGCTCCCTTTAGTCAAAAGTCAGCTTCATTACAATGCATATAGAATTTCGTATTAATTTCAATGTAGAATATAGAATTTAGAGGCATATTTTCACTAAAGAACTATGAAAAATACAAAGTAACGAAAGAGAACAAGTTTGACATCATTTTGGTCTATTTCACATCTGAGTTTCTTCTATTTAGGCCTAGATATTCAAAGAAACAAACATACACAGAACTTGACCATGCCTGGTCAAGATCACATTGCAGTTTCTTCTTTTGACTTACTGTTTCCTATTGAGCTTGTTCCCAAGTGGCTGAGCCTTGACTGACAGTCTGAGCCTCGTGTCTCAACCAGAGATGTTCTTCTTCCTCGTGTGTCAGGAGCTGTCTTCGTCCATTTCGTGTTGTTGTAACTCGGCAGCTGGCCCTAGGTAATGCATGAGGAAAATGAGTTTATTTGGCTCATAATTCTGTTCAGTAGAAAGTCCAAGCAGCATGGTGCTGGTGTCTGGTGATATGTCATTACACGGCAGATGACATCCATGTGAGAGATGAAGCCAGAGACGAGGGATGGCCTAGCTTTTATAAGAACATACTCTTGAGAACTGCAAGACCCGATTCATGATATCATTATGACTCTTCCACAAAAAGCAGTCATGACTCATCTCCTTCTTATTAGGTTCCACCTCTCAGAGATTCCACCATTGCACCGGGGACCAAACTTCCAGCACATAAACCTTACAGGAAAGACCTATTTCAAACCATAGGAAAAGGGCTTTCAAGTAAACATTGAAAATAAACTTGAGGGGTAGCAAGATAACTCAGTCGATAAAGGGGCTTGCCACCAAATCTAGTGAGTTCAATTCCCAGAGCGAAGAGGAAAGAACCAACTCCACAACTGTCCTCTTACACACATGCACCAGGCGTGCACACGTGTGCACACATACAGAGTTAAAAACTAAATAACACTTAAGACTTTGGTATGGGAGCCATCTATCCACAGGGCCCCTCCTTGGAAATGACTGAAGACGCGTCCCTGTCACTCTGTCTTGTCTTCCACCTCCTTGAAGACACTTCCCTGTAGAGAAACCTGCTTGCTCTCTGTCAAGACAAAATTGCTCTGTGCCTCAGCAAACTAGACATCCGGGTGCCTTTTAATGCCTTAAAACACCACTTAATTAAATCACATTTCAAGATTTATGAAATGACAAATTGATCCCACTGTTAGTGGAATCCATAAAGAAAGTGTCTTTTTTTAGAATAAAATTAAAGTCATGGTTCTGTCTCAACAGTTTAAAATGAAATTTGGAGTCTCTAAGCTTTTTTCATCATTTTAAAATTGTTTAATGAATAGGTTGGCTGAGGGGCGGGGAGTGCTTGCAGGACCACTCTTGAAGGCCTGGGGACAACACCTACTTCCTCTGTTAGTTTTACCCTTCAATCCCATGGCCCATGATCCTGTGAACTAGTCATACATAGAACTTCAGCTCACGAGGGAAATCACAGGACTCTTTCAGCAGTGTGACAGAGAGATGACCCTAAAGAGACCCTTGTACTCTCTGGGATGAGATACTTCCTTGGACACACCTCCCAGATAAAGTAATCCTGGGATGTGATGTCCAAATCTTCCTCCTTCAGACACTGACTTCCAGCTGGTGCCTTTGCGGGTGATTCAGCCTTACAGGAAAACCATGTCAGGTGATAACAATGCATGCTCCCTCTGGGTGCCAAGTTTCCGAGAAAAACAGACCAACTAGCCAGATCCGGGTGAAGGACAAGAAGGTGCCAGCAGAGGGGTAGTCTTCCTGACTGATCATTTAAAGGGAAAGGAGCATGAGGTGCTAGTGTGGTCAGGTGCCCTCAGCTTGACTGTGAGCTAGTGTCCCGAGTCACGGGAAGTGGATAAGGGACCTTCTCCAGATAACTCACGATCTGGAGCTATGGAGGCTGGCAGTGCTGAGCTCATCTAAGAAAATGGACCAAAGAGCACAGTAATGCTGCCAAGGGAGCACGGAGAGCACTGGTGTAGGAGGCCCTTCTGTCTGTGTGTGTGTGTGTTTTATTGGTTAATGAATAAAGAAACTGCCTTGACCTTTTGATAGGGCAGAACTTAGGTAGGTGGGGAAAACTGGATTGAATGCTGGGAGAAAGAAGGCTAATAAGAAGTTAGGGCTACTGGGCCAAGCAGTGTTTTAAATAATATGGTTTCTGTGTGATCATTTCGGGTCTAAGTTTGCCATGCGGTGGGAAGAACAAGCAGCCTCCTTCACCTACAGAGCACCACGTTCAGACTCTGGTACCGCCATCCTCACCTCCCACATCTCTGTTGCTTTCCAGGAGGAGACAGGTCTGAGGCTATTAATCTTCTAGATATTTCCAGAAAGGCTACAAATCTGGGTTTCTATTTTATTTCTCTTCCTTTTTTCCTGGCACTCGGAATTGAACACAGGACCTCTCCCATGCCAAGCATGAGTTCTAGCACTGACATATATGCTCATTTAAAAAAACAATGTGTCATGCAGACATGTCAGAGGCCATCAAGCCCCATAATCCTCAGAATGTGTGACCAGCAGTGGCTGTGAGGCCATACTCGGTACTATAGAGATGAAGAGAAGGAAGGAAAGGCTCAGAGAGGCTGTGTGACAGGTGAGTAAAGACCTAAAGGCTGAGCAAGTCCTGTCAATCAAACATAGAGCATGGAAATTCCAGGATGAGGGAGGTAGAGACCAGGGAAAGGCTGTGCCTTACTTTGAGGAACCCTGAGGAATTTAGGGTATCCTGATAATATGTGTGGTGATTTGAATGAGAATGGCCCCACAGACTCATATATTTGAATAGGACCAGTTACTGGAACTCTTTGGGAAGGATTAGGAGGTGTGGCCTTGTGGGAAACGGTGTGTCACTGGGGTGGGCTTCCAGGTTTCAAAAGCCCATGCCATTCCAGTTGACTCCGTCTCTGCCTTTCTGTCTCTCTGCCTTGTGTTTGTGGATCAGAGATGAGCTCTCAAGTACTTCTTCCTGCCTGCTGCCGTACTCCCTACCATGAGGGTCAGAGACTCTAACTAAGCCTCTGGAACCACAATCGCCTAAATTAAATGTTTTCTTTTGTAAGCTGTTTGGGTCATGCTCTTCTGTCATGGCAATAGAAAAGTAACTGAGACGATATGTATAGGATAAAAGGTGGATCAGTGGTAGGACTTACATGTCATGAAAAACCATAACCCATCGGAGGCATCGCGTGCTGTGCAGTAGCCGGAGCAAGGCAGATGTCTGGTGGAAAGGGATAGAAAGACCCGGGAGAAAGAAACACAACCGTTGGAACTGGTTCTCAACTTTCTTCATTCATCACATGGCCATGTCTGTATTAGGGGCTCAACAAGTTGCTCATCCCCTAACTGGGTACCACAGTAGTCTCCACTGAGACTTCAGATGAGTTAGAAATGGAACATGTCCGGGAATCGGTCTCAGCCCCACTCCATGATCACGCTTCCAGCCACCTTCCGCTGGAATGCCCATCTCTCCTGCTTTTTATCCCAAGTAAAAGACTTACAAATAAAAAGTGTGAATTTTAACACAGAGATACTTTAGGAAAGTGAGTGATTTTCAGGTCAACGGCCCGGATCCTGGGGGTTCTTCCTGATTTGTAGGTTTGTGTGGAAGGTCAGCAATAGAACCCTGTTTGCTCAGAAGTGTCCTCTTGCATGGTTGTAGGATGAACCCACACTTCCAAGCCGGATTGTCTCTAGACAGGAGTGTCAAGGACTGTATGCACCAAAGGTCTTCCATGGAGACCCTACTTACTGCCCGACTCACCTCCAGCAGGTTCTGCAGGCCATGACCACAGCTGCCGCTCCTGTTCTGTTTGGAAATCGTTCCCTCCGCACACTGGCCCTTATCTCCATCCCAAGAGCAGACAGAGACCCTGCAGACCTGCCTACATCTCATGAGGCCCTAGCGTTCCTGCCGCTGTTAGCAAGCGCTGGCTGGAGGCCTGGGGG